CTACATTTACTTTAAGTAAACTTTTTGAGTGTCTGTACTTTACTTTATTGTAGGCTACGTTAACTTTATTTTACATTAACTTTACTTCATTTTAAAGACAATTATCGTACACTACATTTCTGTCAAGGTCCTTGAGTAGAATGTAGTAACGTCAGTCAGGGGATGATTTTGGTTGCAGGGGTTGCATTTCGGTTGAATTTTTTTTTTTTTTTTTACCTTATCGGATGTTACAACGGGTTCCCTTTTTGCTGAAAATCAAACGTGCTGTGTAACGCGAGAATGAACCGTTCTCGCTGAAGCTCAAACGCACTGCGTAACACAGCAATGAAGGACAATGAAGTGGTAGTTGTCAATGGAGGGACAGAAAGCTCTCAGATTTTAACAAAAGAAGATCTTCATTTGTGTTTTGACGATGAACGAAAGTCTTTCGGGTTTGGAACAACATGAAGGTGAGAAATTGATTACAGAGATTTCAGTTTAGGGTGAACTATCCCTTTAAGGGTCAACAGTCTACTTTTACTGAAAATGAACTTCAATGATTAGTCAAGCACACATGCGCTCATTTGAACTATAAAACAGAGTTGTCCAACTCTCAGACAAATTGCCATTTTGTGACTTGCGCTTCAGAATAATGCTGTTATCAAAGTATATGAATTATTGCTTAATTGCTATCGTTTCTATTTTTAACATCAGCACATTTCAATTGAGATAATTTTCTGCTGCGCTTTGGAAAATTAAAGGCACTGTGACCAAGCCGAACGCACAGATAAGACATATGTTTGACTAATTAAATTATTTTAAAATGACCTGAAGCCATACGATTAAAAAACACAATGACTGTGACCGTGACGTTTATTATCCCAGCTCAAGTTGTCTACAGAAGGTCTTATCCCGGTCTGTCACGCCTACAGTATTGTCTAGATGATAAAAACCTAAGGCCTGCCACACACAAAGTGTAGTGTAGTCTACTTTAATGGCTTACAGTCAAGAAATATGCCAGTCTAAGCAGCATTTGTTCTGCTGAGTTAAGCAGAACACTGCTGTCTGATTTCATGATTGTTCAGCGATGTGTAAAAGTACTCACTCCCGTTGAGACTGGAGGAGGTATTTTAGGCGGTAGCAGAGATATAAAAGAGCAGATAAATGTATCACAAACCACCGGAGCAGTGGTGAGAATGGATAATAAATGTCTGACAGGTGAAATGTATTAGGATTATTTAACACGCAGTCCTTTACGATTATGTGAACTGCCACCAGGTGTCACTAACGAGTCGTTTCCATTGAAACATGTCACTAATGGGAGAAAAACACAGCTTGTATGGTACAATAAAAGCTGAATTCTTGTTAAAGTTGAAATGTTTATCTGTGCTAAAGTTTTACATTTGTATATTTGTATTAGCCTATAGAAAAAAGCTGTCATTTAAAAAAAAACAACCTTTTCCCCATCTGAATTAGCCAGGCTTATCTATCTTTATCATACTTATCTCCATAAACATTTTCATTTATCTCCATAAAATAGGGTTGAAAAGAAAGACTCATGAATCAAAGTTTATCACAAATACAAGCTGAAGTAAATGCCATCATGGTAACCAGTGTTGGGGATAATGCATTAGTAACGTGAGTTATCAGATGACTTTTTTCAAGCAACTAGAAAGTAATGCATTACCTCACTAAATCTACAACAGCAAGTTACAACAACAAGGCAAGTGACTTTTTTCCCCATTAATTGTCTGACACCTCTCCTGTCCCGCATGCTGAGAGAAATCAAGAGTAAGTGCAGAGGTGTTGGAACAGGATGGCTATATTGTGGGTCTAAACTAAATGAGAGCATGACCTCACTTACACAAAAATAGATTCAGTGTTCTTCAAATAAAAACAGTGAAATGCAAACTCAGAATATTATGCAAACCTGCAATAATTACACAGATTTACTTTATTTAATCTCACTTTGCATGTCCTTCAGGCCAAGGCTTGGGCGCCGCGTTGCATTCTGGGACGTGTCAGCCATGTTGACAGCTTCGCAAATGTAAACATACCAGCAAGTCGAACGAGGAGAAGCAGCTGAGTTGGGAGAAAGAAAATAAAAAAAGATGTTAAAATCCCTAAAAGGATGCGGAATTCACCGGGATATGTTTAATAGGGAAACCAGGGACCGGTATGTGGATAAAACTGCACTTTTTTAACGGGTTGGATCCATTTGAAATTTCCTACAAACAGTGGGAGCACAGCACGTTACGTTAATTACTTAATCCGGACAAAGGTAAACTGCTCTCCACCTAGCTGCTAGTTTAGTAACAGTGCTAACAACCATTCACACATGTAACGTTCTTTTAACTATTAAATTCTGGTGTGAAAGGGTCTTCCAATTTGCAGAAAACTTTGTTAAAAAACAAGCAAGCCCAGCTCAGGTGAGAAAAAGTGACTTTCCATAAAAAGTAACTAAGTAACACAATTAGTTACTTTTTTATGGAGTAACAATTCTGTAATGCATTACTTACCTTACCATCCCCAATGTAACATACCGTACATGATGTTAAAATAAGGCAATGAACACTCCGGATGATTAAGGGTCAAGATAACAAAAAGAAGAGAGAGTCTGTGGAGAACTTTTCATCTCCAGTCGCAACTCTAAATAAAGAACACTGCCAACCAAAAATAAAATAAATAATTATCATAATATTTGAAACCGAAATGTAATGGAAACAAACGATTTAGGAATAAGCAAGGTCAAAATAATAATAAAAAAGGTTCTTAATGAATTATAATCTGCTCTAAACAGCAGTACGCCCTGTCTTAAAAAAAAAAAAAAAAAAAACGGTAGAAAAAGATGAAATACAAAGAAAATGGCTCTCACTTCCCCAAACAGTTCAAATAACAGAAAAGAAATAACAAAAAATAAAGTATTAAAGGTAAAGTAAGCAATTTCTGAGAAATGTCCATGTTTTTACCCAAAAAGATCTTGATTTGCAACAGCTGGCAAACTATCTGGGACAGACGAGAAAGAGTCAGAAAACATAAAACCCATTAGGCCTATAACTGATAAAAATAAGAAGAATTATAAAGAATTAAAATGAAAAAACATCCAATGTGAAGTGTCACACATGGACTTGAATGTCAGTACAGCTTTTCACTATAAATTATAAGATGATTTGTTCTTTTTAATCCCCAAAACAGTAAAATGACGTTATATCTAGGTTTTCCTTACTGTTACAATCTTTTACTGTAGATCTTTTTTACAGTTAAAATTACAATCAGGAAATGATGGGAAGAACAACTAACCACTTGCCATTTTTGAACTTCACCCACCTTGAACCTTAAAGGAGTAGTTCACTTTAAAAGAAACTTTTGCTGATAATCTACTCACCCCCGTGTCATCCAAGATGTCCATGTCTTTCTTTCTTCAGTCGAAAATAAATTACGGTTTTTGATGAAAACATTCCAGGATTTTTCTCCATATAATGCACTTCACTGGTAACCAAATGGTTCAAGGTCCAAAAGACGTTTGGTTACCAGTGAAGTGCATTATATGGAGAAAAATCCTGGAATGTTTTCATCAAAAACCTTCATTTCTTTTCGACTGAAGAAAGAGAGACATGGATATCTTGGATGACATGGGGGTGAGTAAATTATCAGCAAAAGTTTTTTAAAAGTGAACTACTTCTTTAATGTGGACAAGCTGATGAAAAACAGAGCAGGTTTTGCTATAAATAAGTTTTGCAGAATGAGGTTTTATCTCCTTGCTCAGATGAGGAGTAAATGGGTGGAGTGTGTGTTTTTTGAGATAAGAGGCGCAGAGAGCACATTTGGAGTCTGTTACAATTGTCTAACCCCTTTCCAAGAAGTTGAGAGAGAGGAGGTTATTCAGATTCTCTGATAAAAGAGGGAAAAAATACTGCCGAATACCTTGACCATACGTGGGTGTGCTTCACATTTTCCATGCTAATTTACTTTGACTTTCTGGAAAGATATTAACGTTGTTGATCAGAGCTTTTTTTCCGAAGGGTCAGCAGTGGTTCAGTTGCGCCTGGTGTTCCCTGATTGAATCATTCAACTTTTTTTGTGGTTTAATATATAACATAATATATAACCACATATCCCGTGGTTTTGATTGCTATGGAGATACAAACACTGAGCCATGTAAAACACAGAGAGATGTCACAAAATAGTACAAAATAAGTCATAATGCTGATGTAAACAATTAAACATACGAAAAGTAGTTACCATAATGAACAGAGAAGGAAAACAAATTTGTAACTAGGCAGTGTCAAACATAATAACATGCCCTTGCTAGGGAACACCCTTACAATGACTCACACATTCCTTTTAAATCTGTTTGGAAAGTGGAGACGGCCTTCAAGACCTCAGCAGACTGGATTCATTAGATTTTTTACACTATTTTGATTTAAATAGGCCTATACATGCATTCAATAGCAACAGCAGTCATACACAGCTTTTGGAGATGTTCTTGCCATGTTTTACATCTCAAAGTCATCCACAATGCAAAACGTGCATGTTTAAAATATAGGCCTTCTACTATTTCTCCAATATGGATGTACTGTGCATGCATATTTTCTGTTTGTACCCACATAGCCTACAAGTTTATTTTTTTTAATGCACTTTGATGAATATGAAGTTCAAACAAAACACACACACACACACACACACACACACATATATATATATATATATATATATATATATATATAATAAAAAAATATAGAATTTATAACTGTTTGAACTATCAATTTTGATATTTTAATTTAATGCGTCCTTGCCGAATAAACGGCTTTTGAACGGTTCTGTACATAATAAAGTTGCCAAATAAAAGCAAAATATCACAGTGTCAAAAATACATATTGTTTAAAAGTGTGTACTGAACTGTACAGTGCACGCAAGTATTAGCGAGTAACACATCATTTTCTTCAATGATATTTTAATCTCTGGGGAGGAGATTTGGGAGGGGGGACTCAGACGTGATATGGGCGTGTTTTCAATCGTTTGGTTGGACCAGAGCCATATGTCTCTGGGTTGGACATGCGAATCTATGAAGCGTATTTTCCTTGTTATATGTGTTTTATTTCATTCTCAGGGAAAGCGACCAGTGACCAGTGAACTTATCATGGGGAATATCTTTGTCCGTGTACTGCTTTCCTGTTGTTTCGTCTTTATGCCTTCAGCCCGCTAAGTTTTCTGTCAGTTGTTGTAGGCTATATTCACGACAAGTGTTCACTGTTTAAAAGAAAAATCTATTTAAGAGACGATGACAACTGATGAGACTTGGCCGCTGTTTCTGCTGCCGTTTTCACTGCTCTCTGTGGTGAAAGGTAAGTTGCTTTTCCTCACCGGTGTCTGAAACGTAGGCTATATTATTTTTAAACCCATGTAAGTTTAAACTACATTAACTTATCAGTTAATACTGATATTAATACTAATACTAATACTAGCCTAATACTGTTTCTATGTTACGATGTTATGTAAAAAAAAAAAAAAAAAAAACATTGTTGGGATAAACCGGCTGCTAACCGGATGAACCATGAGGTAACCAGGTCATTGATTTATCTTTTTGTTTAAATTTTATTGAGATTATTATTATTATTATTATTTTGACAGAATCTCTAAAATTAATAAAGTGGGGGGAAAAACGTTCTGATAACGGTATAAAACTTTTGGAAGGTTCCTGTAGGTGGAGCCACAACACACCTGCTTCCAGCCTTTGTAATACAATTAAAATGTTAAAAGGAACATTACTACGCTAATTTTAGGGTTGGTAAGATTGTTAATGTTTTTGAAAAAAGTCTCTTATACTATGAATACAGTAACGTTGTGAAATAGGCATATTGCATTTTAAAATCGTTAAATTGCTATTTCTTAATGTGTAAAGTTGAATTTTCGGCACCATTACTTCAGTGTCAGTGCCCCAATGATATGATCCTTCAGAAATTATTCTAATGCTTATTTACTGCTCAGAAATAAATGTCTTCTTATTATCAATGTTCAAAACAATTCTGCTGCTTAATGGATTTTATCAGGATTCAAAAGAACAGCTTTTATTTGAACTGAAATAGTGTCCTAAATATAAGAATTTATTAAACTTTTGTTTGAATGACTAGAATCAAGTATTTTAGTTGATTATCTATCTTGTGTCTGTGGTTTATTTAGCAGATTGTCCGGTTCCTGTTTTGAATGGCAAATTTATCTTGTCTACGGAATCCATACAGATGAATACATTCCCAGAGGGTTCCAAAGCGTTTGTGGAGTGTCCTAAAGGACAGGAGAGAAAGGAAGGTTCAAATGTAATCACCTGCACGAATGGGATTTGGAGTACCGTGGAATTAATCTGTAAAAGTAATTCATTTTTGATTTTTGAATTGGGCCGTTCCCGCTTAACAAAATGGTGTCCAGAAAGGTATATGTTGTAAACTTCTGTTATTTACACTCATTTCAGAGATAGACTGTGGATCACCTGAAAATTCACCACATATGAACTACAACATCCCAAGTGGAACGTTGTTTGGTTCCCTCATACAACCTGAATGTGATAGGGGGTAAGAACTCCTGCGGCCCCTGCTGTCCTTATTGCACTCAAAATGTAGCAAACAACTTATTTCTTTTGTCTTGAAACCAGATATGACCTGGAAGGATCAAGTTATAGACAATGTCTTGTTTCTGGCTGGAGTGGAAGGTCTGAATGTATATGTGAGTCCTCATCTTTGCATTCTTCTTCTTATTATTTATAAACACACACACACACACACACACACACACACACACACACACACACACACACACACACACACATTCAATATTAACATCAATGTTGTCTAGAACAACTTTACAAAAAGTCAGAGATGCAACAGCCTCTGTTATCTTGTCTTTCATAGTGATAACGTGTGATGAGCCAGCTCCAATTGAGCATGGAAAGTTCATCACGCCCGGGAGGATTCCACAGCTTGATGATGTCATTGAATATTCCTGCGAGGAAAACTACACCCTCTCTGGAAACAGATCCATTAAATGTGGGGCAAATTGGGAATATGATTTACCACCTCCAGAATGCAAAGGTTAGTTTTTGGAACTCAGGTTTTCACTCCAGCATATTCCAAGCATAAAATCACACACAATCATCAAATGCTGAACACTGCTGCATTCCTGTCGCTCAAGCAGTAGAGGATGGCGCTAGACGCGAAGGTCATGGCTTCGATTCCTAGGGAATGCATATTTTGAAGGATGCATTGGATGTATCACCCACAATCCTTTGCACACATTTAAATTCATAAAAATAAAAGGATGGTACTGAGCTTAAGTCTGAGTTTAATATGAAATGTAAGACAAAAATAATGCGGACTCTAGCCTAGAAGCCTCAGAAGGACTTGACTAGGAAGGACGCAGTCTCGGTAGGATGAGAAACAACCCAACTTTTGGCCCTCTAGCGTTTAAAAAACAAAACTGTATCTATTATTGGACATTGTTTTAGTTGCGCTTCGGCTCTGCGTGACTGTGCAGTTGAATATGTTTTTTTTCTCATAACTAAAAAAAGAGTGCGAGATTATCCTGCTGCTCATAAAACATTCACTATAAGGCTTAAGAGATATAACCATTTTAAAAGAAAAGGCCCTAAAGCTGACTGGCTGAAGACTTTGCTGTAGCTATACACATTAATAGACATGGAACTTCCTTAAAACTAGATTCCAGCACAGCGCTACAACAACCCATTATGAAAAGACCCTTCACAATAGGTAATGAACTCTGTTAGAGAGCGACATATAGAAACTTATCTGTTGAGTAATAAAAACGTGATGTATGCACACAATTTCCAGCGAAAATCATCCCGTTTGGTCTAAAATATAAAAACGTATGATATATCATACGTTTCAGGCAAAACACTGAATCATAGTTCAATGTTTTGCCTGAACGCGTTCATAATTTGGGCGAACGTGAACTGAACGTATATTACTGCCTGATGAATGTTACTGTGTGTACGCGTTCATTCTGGTGTCTGTGAACAGACACTCTCTCAGTTTAACTTCGTTCAATAGGGTGCCAGATTTCTGTAGAGCCTTCTAAGCGAAACAGGCCTTAATATGTAGTGAAAAAAACTAATCTGGCTACACCAGACACCAGTGTCGCACTGCGACCGCCGTCGACAAAGTAGCGAGCGAGGAAGCGTCGTATGATCATTTAAACGGGTGAGGATGGGATAAATCTTACATTTCTGTGCAAACTTTGCCCGTCGATAAAATAATTGTTGTCTGTGGGTTGTGTCTGTGGCAATAATAAAAAAAAGAAGAAGCTCACAACATATGGAAAAAAAGAACTATAAACTAGTTCATTTTTTGAAGTATGAACTATGAACTGAAGTAGTTCATTTTAAAATGTGTGAACTGAACGTTGAACTAGTTCATGTAGAAAGTGAACTTTCCTAACACTGCCGTAGTTCCTCAATCTGATCTTTAAATAGTCTGAGCATGCATGTATTTAGACCGGTGTTGTGGAAACATCTGGTCACAGTGTGTTAGGACTGGTGGAACATCTCTAGTAGCCTGCCCAACTCATCTTGCTTTTCTTGCACAACACAGTTTCATTGCCCTTTCTCTGTATTGCATTTTATTGTGTGGTTCCCTGACCTGTTTACTTATGTTTGCCTTAGTATGCATCTCTCAGTAACCTATACCGGAAGGTCATCTTTTTCTTGTTCAGCAGTTCCTCCAGGCCTTTTATGATTCATGGATTTTTTTTTTTTTAAGTATGTTGATGTGATCTGTAGATTATGTATATTTCTAGGGCAGATTAGGGGTATTAGGTGGCTGTGTGTAGCAGTGCTAAGGAGTATGCTGCAAAAAAAGAAAGAAAAAAAGTGTGGGAGGAGAAGAGCAAAATTGTTTGTTTGTTTTTTTTTAAATGAAAAATACCAGTCATTTTTGTTTAAAGTTTACTAACCAATATGCAGAATTTTTTTTTTTAATTAGATTTACTAAATTTATTTTGGCTCATTAAATTAGATTAACAATAAAACTATATTTATACATATTTATTATTACTATATGTCAATATATTAATATGAACTAAAACATTATTATTAATTACCAATAAAATGCAAATATATCTATGCAATGTTGTTTTGAGATCTAAATAGCTGAAATCTCTGATGTGATTTTGGGCTACATACTCATTAAACTTAAAATGCTACTGTTTATGACCTGAGACTGAATGGCTGTTAAAATTAAAAATGAAAATAAAACCCACGTCACCAGTTGACACTGTTGTTTCCACAGTTGTGGTTTTATGGGTGTGATTTTTGTTTTTGTTTTTTACGCGTCCCACCAAACTGAGACATTTATTGGCACACCTGATATTGAAAAACTAATAAACATTTCAGTAATGTTTAAAACAGAAATCTTTCTGTAAATGTTTCTTTCCAGAGAAACATTCTTTTATAGTCTTGGTTTATAAAACCATTTGGAATCTTGTTTTGACATTTAATTGGGCTCTACATAACATGACTGAAATTCCAATGTTCCAGATGCCTTGATGTGTGTCCTTATGTGGTTTCATTACTATATTTTGCATATTACATTCCGCAAGTATTTACTGCCTTACAGAAAAAAAAGAAAAAAAAATTTTTTACTGACTTAATCCAGTTTCCTTTCTATTCTCAGAAATTGAGTGTCAAGTTCCTGAAATTCGGTTCGGTAACCAGACTGAAGGAAATCCTCCATACTCTTATAAAAGTAAAGCCACGTTTGAATGCTGGCCAGGTTACAGGATGAAAGGTTTTGCTACATCAGTGTGTGAAGAGAGTGGCTGGTCTGCCCTTCCTGTCTGTGTTCAAGGTAAGCTTAAACTTCCGAATGCTAAAATGGATGGGATTTTCCCCCAAGGTCTGAATTCATGATATGAGTGATACAGTAAGCAGACCCGTACAGAATCTGCAGCGTTTCCTGTGCTGATTCCAAGGGAAACTCTGCTGCATTCTCCATTGGAAAAATGTGTCAAACTGACCTGATGTCAGGCTTGATGTGGCTGAAATAATACAAGCACATTGATACAGTATTAGTACTGTATGCTTACTACATAAAGCATACTTATGAATATGCTTGCACTTTACTTAAAGGGATACTCCACTTTTTTGGGAAATAGTCTCATTTTACCACTCCCCCAGAGTTGAGTTTAACCGTTTTTGCATGCATTCTGCCAATTTTCTGATATTTAGAAAAATATCAGTAACCAGACGGTTTCTGGTCTCATTGCCTTCCATAGTAGGAAAAAAATATACTATGGAAGCCAATGAGACCAGAAACTGTCTGGTTACTGATGTTCTTCTAAATATCAGAAAATTGGCTGAATGGATTCGAAAATGGTAAAACTCAACTGTTTAACTCTGGGGGGGGGGGGGTATCCTTTTAAGTATACTTAACAAAATGAATCAGAAGTATACTTTTTTTTGTTAAAGGTTATGTTGCCGTCAACTAAACTGCCGAGATGTTTACATGTGCAATGTTGTATTGAAGAAGGTGGCAAAGTAGATGATGACACACTAATATTTTCTTTCAGACATCATAACACAGACAACAACAATTACTACCACAAACTTAACCACAACAACAGCCACAGCCACCACGCATGCACATGGTGAGAAGCCCAGCCCATAGCATATTCTGATTCCTGATCATTTGTTATGGTAATGCTGTAATGGTTATTATTGCAGGAACACATGAAGAACAGCCCGATTCTGAATTACTAAGTGAGTCATCCTTTAAAGCCAATGATACATCTGCTACTGAATGAAATGTCCAAATGCGCCAGGGAAAGAAATGCGGTTACTGAAGTCACCATAATATAACAGTCAATGATGAGAATGAGTTATTTTGTCTCATTCAAGTTTAAAGTAATAGGAGTGATGACTACTGTAACCGAGGGCCACATGTCAATGAAACGTTTTTTTTCCTTTTGTTCATGTATTTGTAATAACACAACAATTGATCTTTCAGGTAGTGGTCCTGTGATTGCCTTGTGTATAATTGTCGGTAAGCATCTGAATGACTTGGATTAAATGATAGACTTTTATCTAAAATTATGTTTATTTTTATATGTAGTGTTCAAAAGTTTGGGGTCATTGCATTTTTTTGTTGTTGTTGTTGAAAGAAATGAATGGATGTATTCAACAAGGACACATTAAAGTTGAGTAAAACATTCTGAACTGTTTTCTGTTTCAAAATGCTGTTATTTTGAACATTCTGTTTATAATCCTGAAAAAATATATCACGGTTTCTAGAAAAATATTAAGCAGCATTTAAGGAAGGATCATGTGAGTCTCAAACTGGAGAAATGTTGCTTTAGCATCATAAGAATACATTATTATTCGAAAATATTAAAATATAGAATTGTTAAAAGTTTTTTACTGCATTTCTGATCAAATAAATGGAGCCTTTGTGATCATAAAAAACTTTCAACAACATAAAAAATATTACTGACCCCATACTTTTGAGCGAAAGTGTGTATACACCTTTTACTGTTTACGGCACTGTTCAATATTTTATAATATAATATTTTAATATTTCCTTGGTGTCCGCAGGCTGTGTTATCATCGTTTTGGTTTTGTGTCGTGAATATAAACAGAGAGGGTGAGTATATGCTAAGTCCTTCTAAGCATGACCGACTGTGTCTCTGCTTCTACTGCAGGCTGCTGTAGACATGCCTTGACCTGATGCTTTCTTTTGCTGTCTCTTGCATGAATGCCATCTTTTCATATGCTCTTGGTTTATAATAAGGGGGGACAGAAAATGCTTCACTTAAATGCGTGTTTTCACTATCAATCCGGAAGCTAGCTGTCCTTGTGCTGGATTTGTAGTTGATTTGCAGCTCACTTTTAAATTGCTCCTATTATGTTTTTTGGATGTTACCTTTCATGTAGGCTATGATATACTGTAGCTGTTTGTGAATGTAAAAGGGCTGCAATGTTCCAAAGATCAAAGTGTGGGATAAATGGAGTTATTGTCTCCCATGGGTGGGGGTTGTTGGATAGTAGGGGAGTGTCTGACATTTCTAATGGCCTTAGTCAGAGAGGGGTACTATCGAGGGATTTGTAGCTTTTGTTGGCTACCCATGAACAACGTCTACTTTGACCCGGCCTCAAACACTGTAAGCTGAAACCTGGAAGAGTTTGGTATGTGCCGTTGACATCTTGATGAAAATCCACTTTACACGCATTTTCGAAAGATGAGGATGCTAGTTCATTTCACTGTGCGGAAATTCAGATATGGTAATTGGCCCTTTGTTTCTGAAGAGCTGTATTCAGTTGACCAATCACAACAGATTTGGGCCATCTGACCAATCAGAGAATTGTAAACTCTTTGCAAAAAAAAAAAAAAAAAATTGAGAGACTGAATCCTTTATCAAATCATTTGAGAGAAAATAGCTGAGGCTGCAAAATAATGTGTTTTTTAACCTTTGATGCATGTAAACCTTTTTCCAAAGCAAAATTAGGGTCTTTAAAATAGCATAATTGGGGCACTTTAAATTCTCAATTATTAATTAGTGTCTGTTGTACATTAACAGAAGTTCAAGGTTTCAAGGAAGTCTATTAAACTGTCCACCCTTATTTTTTGGGGGATTTTCCTGCATGCTTACATGGTTGGTTGGCTCACTAACTATTAAGTAACCTCAATGTACATGTGGAAAGACATTACAGTGTGTCTGGGCACATAATGATCTGCAGAATGTTAAAAAGAAACCCACACATTTTAATTAAAAGATCAGAGTTTCTGTCTGACCAGATACTAATTACATCCATACAGCACGCAGAACGGATGGCTAATTGAATGTTAACAAGAAATGAAAGTGTCCAATAAATAATGTATTATAATGACTCTATCTCTTCGTTTGATAATGGTGCATAGTTCATACAATACTGGAGAAGGCAAGAAGACAATAGAAGAGTTATTGCTAAAACAAAGTCCGTAAACCCAAGGTAAACCCAAACCCATCAAAATCTTCATAAAATGAGGTTTCTTTTTTTGTACAGTCACAATCAAATGCCATCATCTCAGACTAATACACTCATAGTTGGAGAGTTTATTCTGGCATTAGTTGCAAAATCGTCTCCATTAATTATTCTTAATGTGTTATTATGTTGAATAACAGCAATGTTTCATTTTCCTCAATGTGTTTTCTCTGGACTCTCCACCACAGGGCAAACAATCGGACGGCTCCTTTGTTCTAAGGCTAAGTGGACTACGTGAAGTTGAAGTTTTATAATTCAGTGTTGTATTTTATAAACTAAAAATTGTATTTATTTATAATTGCTATATAATGTGCTTCCAGTTATTGATGAAAACATAAGATGGTATTTTTGTATGTTAATAAAGATATTTAAACTTGAGTGTGTTCTCCCTATGATTGTATCCTGACCTCAGAATTTCCCCATCTCGTAGTCAAGAATCCACCCAAAAGGATCTCCCAAAAGCCACATGTTTCCACTCATGTCTTTTCACTTTTTAAAAGTGCACTTTTATTTGTACCAATTGACAGTGCATCAACAGTCTGGATCAAGATTTCCATGACCATATGGTGAGGAAACCTGATCCCAAATGAGCAGACGTTCTTTATGTGAGCTGAAAATAATAAATGTTGCACAGTGCACTCCCTTTTCAATAGTGTCCTTTTACGTCAGCAGTAGAACCAAACAACAATGTGGTTACCAGGACAATGGCAGAGATAGTTGCTGCTATTCAAGTCAAATACTTCATCAACTGGAGAGTCATCCAGACAATGTGCTATGCAGAGACCTTGGCCAATCCCACAAAAGCAAAGAAAAAGTCTCAATGTTGTTCTCAAAAACCTGGAATAAGATTTCGATTTCAAACTATATTAAGATAATAGTTTTTCTGACAGCTTTTTTATTTGATAACAAAATATAAAATGTCATTTATTCATTAATGTTTTAACAGTTGAAGAGCAAAACTTGTTGCTTGGCAAGTGTGAGAAAACTGGGTGGACAAGATGTTGTTTTGTGGTTGCTAATTGTTTCCTCCCATGTGATTGTTTCCTGGTTTTAAATTGTAAGTCAGATAGCTTAGAAAAGCTTCTCGCTTCTAGCTGTGTAGCACAAACATTGGGTCGAAGTATGTGTAAAACTATAGGCTTAGTCGTTCTTAAATACCTAACCTTAGTTTGTTCAATAATAATAGTGATGGCACCTCACTTACATATAGAAAAAAGGTTACATAAAAGAGGTTACATAAAAAAAGGTTACATATAGAGGCTAAAGGAGTTGTTCACTTTTAAAAAACGTTTGCTGATAATTTACTCACCCCAATGTCATCCAAGATGTCTTTCTTTCTACAGTCGAAAAGAAATTAAGGTTTTTGATGAAAACATTGCAGCATTTTTCAAGGTTCAACGTTATCAAAATGAACAAATCTTTTTCCGAGTCAATTTGTTCGTTTTGTTCGTTGAATGAACCAAATGACTCGGAAAAAGATTCGTTCATTGTGATGAACGTGTTCGAACAGGAGAGTCACAAACGTGCGTCATAGAACAGAGCAAGGCGACCATTTGAGCTTATAAAACTTAAACTTTGTTATTTATTTATTAAATGAGCGATCGTTTCGCTTGATAAGACCCTTATTCGTCGCCTTGAATCGTTTAAAGCCCTTTGAACAGTTTGCACTTTGTACAGGAAAGTGTCTTTTGGACATTGAACCGTTTGGTTTCCAGTAAAGTGCATTATATGGAGAAAAAATGCTGGAATGTTTTCATCAAAAACCTTAATTTCTTTTCGACTGAAGATGGACATTTTGGATGACATGGGGGTGAGTAAATTATCAGCAAAAGTGTTTTAAAAAATGAACTACTCCTTTAAAGGGGACATTCACCCAAAAATTTTAATTCTGTCATCATTTACTCACCCAATTGTTTCAAACCTGTATGAACAACAACAAAAAGGTATTTTGAAGAATGTTGGTAAGCAAACTGTTGACGGGCCCCATAGACTTCCATAGTATGGAAGAAAAAAAATACTATGGAAGTCAATAGGGACCATCAACTGTTTGGTTACCAACATTCTTCAAAATATCTTCTTTTGTGTTCAGCAGAAGAAAGAAATTCATACAAGTTTGGAACTTGAGGATGACAGGTTCCCATCATGGGACCATTTTATGGATTTAGTTTTGATTCATTCATTTTGTTTTAATATAATTTTTTTAATTTTGATTACATTTTTACATCAAATAAATATAAGAATGCTATAGTATGGAAACCCAGTGAACATTTTGAATAGAATGTAGCACCACCACAAATCTAATAAAAGGTTTCTAACACGCTAATTGCATTAACAGTTAACAGGACAAGTGCCTTCACAAACTGAAAAGAATGGTTTCTTGAGTTCTTGCGTCACTGAACGGAATGTGGCAAATTTAATTTGTAAAGTTCATTGCTGATAACATACAGTAGGTTTATACTCAGTCTTACTTGGAAGAATGAACCCATTATCAGTGCTAAAGCTTCTCCATTTTTTTTTTATCTCATAGTAACCCAGGTCTTTTGTTATCTGTTTGAGTAAAACCCTCCTCATTTGCTAAAGCTTCTCCGTTTTTTTTTTATCTCATAGTAACCCAGGTCTTTTGTTATCTTTTGTTAAAGCTTCTCCGTTTTTTTTTTTATCTCATAGTAACCCAGGTCTTTTGTTATCTGTTTGAGTAAAACCCTCCTCATTTTCTAAAGCTTCTCTGTTTTTTTTTTTATCTCATAGTAACCCAGGTCTTTTGTTATCTGTTTGAGTAAAACCCTCCTCATTTGCTAAAGCTTCTCCGTTTTTTTTTTTTATCTCATAGTAACCCAGGTCTTTTGTTATCTGGTTGGATCTGCACTGGATCATTTCACACTGCAGTTATCTGCACTGGATCATTTCACACTGCAGTCAAGGGTCCACAACTTCTAATAACAGTTGGTCATCTGTAAGGAGACTACAGTGAAGAATTACAGTGAAACCTTTAACCATTAAATCAATGTACTGTAGTATAATTAAGGATACAATGTATGTTACCTTCACCTCACTGAAAGGCTACATGAAGCAAGACTGCAGATGATTCAGTGTTAGGTTTAGCTGTAGATTAATGAAGGGATATTGAATGGAGGTGTATTTACTCATGCTGTGGTAAACAAAACCACAAGGATACGTCAGCTCTTACCAGACCACTCAAACCAGTAGACTGTTTTATTTAGGGTCATCTAAAAACAAGACATTTAATACGCTTGCTCACCCATTTTGTTCACAGACAACATGTTTTATGGGATTCAGGAGTTAGGCTAGGGTGACCATAGTTTGATTACAAAAAAACGCAGGACACTCGGCCCAGAAAACAGATGCTCAAATGATACTCGAAGTTTACTCAAAGATGCCTTATTAATTTCAATACATTTAAAGTATAGGCTATGCCTCCTCTGTACGGATAGAAAATTGTTATATTACAAGACCCAAATTCAAATAGGCGCCTTCTCAGAGGTTACTCAACAGGGGTTTTATTCTGACAGGTTTCAAAAATAATTAATGAAATAATGATAGAAATAATATCTCTTCTGTATTAGAAAAAATAATATATAAATAATAAATAACTAAAAGAAATTGGACAAAAATAGCTCTCACAAACATACAAAAAGAAACTAACATAATATATTTATATCTTTAGTTTTCTTCCTCTTTATCCTGTTTTTCTTCCTCATCCTCCTTGTTTGCCCATCTTTTGCTGTAGAGCTGATCTTTCCCAGCAGTTTTTTTTTTTTAAACCAGGACATTTTGATTACTTTATAAAAAACAGCCACGACGGCCAGGACAGTGTGTGAAAACAGGACATGTCCGTCCTGGGAAAACAGGACTGTTGGTCACCCTAAGTTATGCTATCTGTTGTTGACTGTTCTTTTTTGTTTTGTTTCGTTTTTGTTTTGTTTTGTTATTGTTGCTCTTAAAATTGTATGGCAACGTAAAAGATCTCTTCCTGGCAGAAAGGAAATGCACATCCTTTTTATTCATTTATTTGAAGTAGGCTATCTTGTTGAAGGAAAGAGCATCTAGCGTTTGACATTGATGAATGCAGGACATTTCCTGGGCCTCAAACATACAACGAGAACACATTAGCACAATCATATAGTGGACAGCAATTTTAATACGATAACTTATAAAATATCTAAAAGACTGTGTCTGTTTTAAAGTGAAATGTGGTATTGGTGCTCACTTGACAGAAGTTAAAAATAGCATATTATGCTATAGGGTTGGGTTCTCACAGTTCAATCAGCTGTGTCATGCTCCCTCAAGACAGCACAATACATCCGGTTTATAACCACGCGTTAGAGTAGACCATTAAATGCAATCAACTGGCATCAGTTACAGATGTTGGGAAAGTGATCCCAAGTTCAAAAGTTAAATGTGTGTCGGTCTTGAAAGCCAGTTGTTGAGCGTTCTCTCATTTCATCGACAATTATTAAGTCTAAAGAATCGGGAGTAGGTCTGGTGGGGGGAAAAGGGGTCTTGCTAGATGAGAGTAACTTCTTCTTTAGGGTTTAATGGCGGTTGGCAAACCCGGAGTGGACTAACTTGGAGATTAGTTTATTATGTTAGTCTGACTCCGGAGAAATCGAGAAGAACCGTTTCCACGCACGTTTTGGATCGGTTTGTCTGTAAGTAGGAAATAATAATGCACTTTTGAGGTCACACAGTGCCATCCAGTGGTGAAGAGTTGAAACGGTGAATGAGTTACGTCAGAGACATTCTGGTTACGTAGCGATTGAGCGTCAGGCGCTTGTTGATGATGTCACCAGTTCCACAAGCAGATTCGATAAATGACAAATTTCGCCACCTGTAGTAATGTCATTCAAGATGCACACGTGCCACGGTGGAAAAACGGTGTCATTTTTACACTTTTACCCTTTTATTTTATTAAAAACGGAGATATTTCTTACTTGCGAGGTTCTGAGACGGTTCTGTTGCTGCTGTGGAGGTCCATGGTGAACTAGATGAATGTATCAGGTAATATAATGTAAAGATATTTTTAAAAACTGTAGTGAACCACAAATATCTGCAGGTGAACACAATGACAAGCTATTTTAAACTGTTATTATGACAGAGATCCTATGATATATTGCCTGCAGTGGTCCTGCAGTCTTGTAGAGGAATTACATGAACTTGTTGCACTTAAGAATCATTATTTTTATTCAATTTATAAAGTTTGTGCAAATCAGACATGCAAAGACATGGATCACAAATGTTGCAGTATGTAGTCCACAGCATTTACTGTAGGTCTCCCGTCCATTGTGATGTCAGGACTGACCCAAGAACACTGATTTCAAATGGTGCTAGATGCCATAAAGTACTCTATTGCACCATTT